TAATGTTATTGCAAATAAAAATTATAATTTATTTTCCAATCATTTAATGATGATGATTATCGGTTTGTTGTGGTCGCTGCATTCATTATAAGTTGCAGCACGTCGTCAGTTTGTCAGGTTGTCAATGCAACAGTCAATATTGATGTTGACTTTTTAACACGTTGAAGTTGTAATTTATATCAAGTATTGAATTATTGATTATTTAAAAAAAAATAATAAATTGAGCTGTTATAAAATATAATTATACTAGAAGGTGTCCGCTACTTCGTCACCGAAAAGTCCGCCTTTAAGTTTCAGATTCGTTACAACAATTCGCATTTTCCAGAAAGAATAATGGGAGAACGTTTATTATTTAAATCAAAAAATCTTCAAAATACTCAATTTTGAAGTTAACCGAGGAGGATATTATAGGAACCATTGGACAATGGATCCACGTCCAATTTTACTGTCCAAAAAATAGTGAATTCAATATACCACATTATCCCTTCATCCAATACCAAATTTAGATCTCTCCGTCTTGACACCAAAAAGGATAAGAAATTAGTACCATTTAATACTTTTCGCAAAGATTATAGTACGTATTTACAAAACTACCAGCAGATCTCCACACCAGATACCAACAGAGATCACAATATAAAATTTCGAGATTCCAGCTCTATCCCCTCACTCAATACGCAATTAGGTATAATTTTGTACTTTTCGTACAATTATAGTACACATTTTCAAAAACACCTCTACCAGATACCAACAGAAACTTCTATTTCAAATTTCAGGATTTCAGCATACCCAATTTAGTACCACTTAGTACCACTACCTTATTTTAGGAACAGAGACCAACAGTGACACCTATATCAAAAATCCGTGTTTCAGCTCTATTTCCTCACCCAATACCATATTGTACCAAATATAGTACCATTTAGTACTTTTCGAATCATTATAGTGAACATTTCCCAAACCAGCTCTTTCTCTCAACCACAAACACCAACGGTGACATATATAGGAAACACCGCTTCGTAAGTGGAATCATAGCTGGCCTTGTGAGCACTACTAATTCGGGCTCCTATGTTTCCACACCACCTTTGTTGTAGGCTCCTGTATGGGTGCTACCCTATACTAAAGCACTGCCACATGGAGTTACGGAAAAAATACCCTCAGAGCTACAAACCATATTAACGTTGTGTCAAACACTAGTACCAGCTCCAATGCTACCAGAAATACTGCCGATGTTAAAGCTACAAGCCACATTGCCTCTGTGTCTGATACCAGTACCAGCTCCAAAGCAACCACAAATTTTGCTGTTGCTGGTTGAACCATAGCTTCCTTTATGGCCAGCGCCAATGTCAGCTCCAATGTTTCCAAAAGCCCCGCCTTTATTGTAGCATCCCGTATGGGTATTACCTGCGCCAAAATCGGCTCCAATGTTTTCGAAAACACCACTTTAGTGGTAGACTCCAGTGTGAGCACTACTCGTCACGACTAATTTCAGCTACTAGGCCACCGGAAACACCACCCTTATTTGTGGCCACCCCCAATACAGGTACCTATAACTTCCGAAACACCACCTTTGTTGTATGCTCCTGTATGCCAGAACCAAGGGGGCTAGAGACACCAATTGCACTGGCGCTAGTAGATGCTGTATATGTACTGGTGGAACATGATAAGCCAGCTATGTAGCCGTCACCACTACCAGCACCAATGCTGCTAGATGCATCATAATTACCCTTGTGATCATCTCCTCGGGGCAACTCCTTTGCGAATGCCACTTATACCGGTTCCAATGCCTGCAAAATCATACATAGAAGACAAATTCAACATATATGTCAGCCTTATTAGATTCGCCATAACCAACTATGTGGCCTCCATCAATTCCTGTTCCAATGGTATCAGACACGCCACCCCTATATGATCCGCCAATATTACCAGCAAAGCCAGCAGATGCAGACGCAGTAACCTTATGATAACCACCAATGCAAGTAGTATATCATGACTTCCACCAACAACTGTGTTGTGACCGGCACCAATATAAGTGGTCATATTATTATATATCCAATATGGTCAGTCAATCCAAAGAGATTTGTGCTAATATTGGCAGAGTCCTTAGAGTCACTGTGGAAGGAACCAATATTCCACGTAATCCACACAGAATACCACGGATGCTAGTTGAACCATTGGAGCCACTGTAAGGTCCATTCATTTCGACACTATAGAAAACGCAAATGATTCCATATCCACCGCCAATACTTGCTGAACTCTTAGAAACATCATAAGCGCCACACTTTATCAGAATCCATTTAATTCCACCTAATTCACCCAAAGTGCCACGAATGTCAGCTGATCCTTTAGAGTAACCACAAGCTCCACTGGCTTGTCCATTGTGAGAAGAACCAATTCTTCTAGTTGAAGCCTTGGAGACACTCTAAGCTCGACTCGTTTGGTCATTATGTAAAACACCAATATTTCCAGTTATCCGTAGTCGGTAGAACCCTCGAACGAATAAGTATAAACAAAGTAAATTTATTCTTTCTCGATTTGCATTTGAAGTTTATTTGGCAGGGCAGGAGAGTCTCTCACAACTACTAATGCATATATTGTGAGCAAGGGTACCTTAGAGCTACCATAACTTTGTCTTGTAGCTCCAGTGTGAAAGGCTCTAATATTGGCAGATAGTCGACCCAATGAAGCACCAATGCCTGCTGAGCCCTTAGAGCCACCATAAGCTCCACTGACCTGCCCGCTGTGGGAGTCAGCATTATTCCCCCTAATATACCAAGATTTTCACCAATACCTGCCAAAAGCTCCTTTCTTTTAACCTTGAACAGATATGCAAGACCCCAGTAACCATTGCAGAAACCGCCGCCTCCAAGATAGCCCCATAATCCAATGCCGTAAGCTAGAAAATGTAATGTAATTATACCCTACAACACTATGTGTTGGGGGTATTATAAGTTTGATTGGGCCAAAAATTATGTAACACCTCGAAATATTGGTTTCTCACATAGGAAAGTATGTATGGATCTTCCTATCTCGCCGATCTTGAGTCGATCTAGCTATGTGTGTCTTTCTATCCGCCCGTCCATCAGTCCATGTTAATTTGTAGTCACGCTACAGGTCGCAATTATGGGCCGATCCTCACTAAATTTTGCATGAAGGTGGGGTTATGGTCAGGATAGAAGCTTTTGAAAATGGTCGCATAATATTTGAAATGGTCGCATTTATAAAATTTCCTGATTTTGCAGTTGCTCCACAGTTCGCAATTACAGATCAATCGACACGGAAGTTAGCATTGGGCTAGAGCTTAGGCCTGGACAGAAGCCTTCCATTTTGGATGGTCATCGGGTAATATTTAGTGGGTGAAATGGACCACAACATTTGTGTTAACTGAAAGTCTAATTTTCCAATAAACCGCGAATATTTTCAATCCCGATTTGCCTTTTATTGTGCACCAAACGTGTAATATCAGTCCGAATAGTATGGCATTTTGCAAGTACGATCAGATTGGACCTGAAAATAAGTATGCCAAAATTTGATCGAAATCGGTTCAGATATAGCTATAGCTCCCATATATATTGTTCATCCGATTTGTTATTTTCGTCCTCCGCAGCCGTAATATGCACTCTGTAACAACAAAATTTGGGGAAATATATCAAATACAGCTCAGAAATACATTTGCTAAATTTTATCGAGATCGGTTCAGATTTGGTTTTAGCTCCCATATATAACTTCGTCCGATTTACTTTTGATTATGCACCAAACGTCTAATATTTGCTCAAATTGGATGAAATTTGGCAGTTACGACCGAATTGAGTCTAGAAGCTAGTATGTCAAGATCGGTTCAGATATAGCTCCCATATATACTGTTCATCCAATTTGATATATTTGTTACCCACAGCCGTAATATGCACTCCGTAACAACGATATTCAGGGAAATATATCCAATACCGCTCTGAAATATCTTTGCCAAATTTTATCGAGATCGGTTCCGATTTGGATAAAGCTCCCATATATATCTTTATCCGATTTCAAATTAATTGTGCACCAAACGGGCAATACAATTCCGAATTTAAAAGGTACAAATGATTCGGCATATTTAGTTTTTTGAACTCTAAATTATAATTATAAACATAGCGTGTATGATTGAATTCTCCCATAAAAACTTTTAATTGTTATGCGGAGCTCTACTAAATTAGCAAAGTGGTTTACTGGTTTCAATTTGACTTAATATTGAAGTGTATATTTTGTAATACTTTTTCATCCTTGCAATACAGGTTGGGGATAGTTTATACAGATTTCAATTACCATCCGATCCTCACGGAAATTTTCACAAGGGTAGGGTTAGGCTCAGAAGGGCTAGGCCTATTGTTATCAAAGATGTCCGCAATATATTTAGGGGTTAAAATGGACCAAAAACAAAAAAAAAATTCAAAAGCGAAATCTTCCAAAATGGATTTGGACATAAAGGGCCTTCTAACATATTGTAGTGTTATAGGGTATCAAATGGTCGGACCCGCACGAGTATAGCCTTTGCTTACTTGTTTATTATTATTTTCACACCCACCCAGAATAGTTCGTGAGTTCTGAAATTAACAAAATATAAACAATATTTTCAAAAAAAAAAAAAAAAATAAATAAATAAAAAAAATCAATGGCCGTCGGCATATGTTTGTGTCGCGTTAACGCCACCTTTACGTCTAGACAGTTTTTGGATTAGAGTTCTTGTAATTATGAACCCTTCTGTTAATGATAATATGTAGCACGTTTTAGAAAATAGATGGAGAAGCTCCAGGCGCTACGAAATTAGTGGTGGGCCATCATAAAAATCACATTTAAATAATCATGAGAAAATCGATCAAATTATGCTAATCCGTTTCTTAGAATTGTGTGAAGAACCAGCTGAAAAAAAAGAGACAAAAGAAAGGAACCAGTTTTTGGATACGTTTGTTGTGTTCTTGTTTTTGTTTTATGGTCATTTACAACCGTGCGACATAAGATAGCCAAAAATAGAAGGAAAATAAAATTATCAAAAAATTAAAAAAAATATTGATGTTTTTTGCTCAGCAAAGTTCTATAAAAGAAGCCGGCGGTTGGAAATTTTGAAACATAGTTCTATTGACAGTGATGAGAGGCGTAACGGTATTTGGATTATTAGCGATTGGAGTGGCCCTGACCAATGGTGAGTTCGGGGGTTATTTTGGGTTTAGATGGAATTACAATGTTGTGAATTTTTGCAGCTTATGGCATTGGATTAAGTGGCAACCTTGGAGGCCTGGGCGGAGGTTTAAATATTGGCGGTGATAATGGTGGATTCCTGGGATCTGGTATCTCTGCGGGTCTTGGAGGTAAAAAGAAGGGAGGTTATGGCGGTTCGGCCGGTATTGGTGGCAATCTTGGCGAATTTGGCGGAAGTTTTGGAGCTTCTCATGGTCAAGCAAGTGGAGCTTATGGTGGCTCCAAGGGTTCAGCTGGCATTGGTGGCTCTTTGGGTGGATTAAGTGGCAATATTGGAGCTTCTCACAGTGGAGCCACAAGCCAAAGTTATGGTGGCTCCAAGGGATCAGCGGGCATTGGTGGTTCTTTGGGTGGATTAAGTGGCACTATTGGAGCCTCTCACAGTGGAGCCACAAGCCAAAGTTATGGTGGCTCCAAGGGATCAGCTGGCATTGGTGCTAATCTAGGTGGATTAAGTGGAAGTATAGGTTCCTCCCACAGTGACTCTAAAGGATCTGCCAACATTGGTGCTAATCTTGGCGGATTAAGTGGAAGTATTGGTACCTCCCACAGTGACTCTAAAGGATCTGCCAACATTGGGGCTACACTTGGCGGATTAAGTGGAAGTATAGGTTCCTCCCACAGTGACTCTAAAGGATCTGCCAACATTGGTGCTACTCTTGGCGGATTAAGTGAAAGTATTGGTTCGTCTCACAATGGACAAGCCAGTGGAGCTTATAGCGGCTCAAAGGGCTCAGCCGGAATTGGTGGTTCTTTGGGTGGATTAAGTGGAAATATTGGAGCCTCTCACAGCGGCGCAACGAGTCAAAGTTATGGTGGCTCAAAGGGTTCAGCTGGCATTGGTGCCAATCTTGGTGGATTAAGTGGAAGTATTGGTACCTCCCACAGTGACTCTAAAGGATCTGCCAGTATTGGTGGTAATCTTGGTGGATTAAGTGGAAGTATTGGTTCGTCTCACAATGGACAAGCCAGTGGAGCTTATAGCGGCTCAAAGGGTTCAGCTGGCATTGGTGGTTCCTTGGGTGGATTAAGTGGTAATATTGGAGCCTCTCACAGCGGAGCCACAATCCAAGATGGTGGCCACAAAGCTGGTTATGGTGGATCTGGCGCCATTGGAGCTTCTTCGTCTGCCACGGCTGATGCTTCTGCTTCTGGAAACATTGGAGCAGGTATAAGTGACATCCATAAAGGAGTTCCCTCGGGTATTAGTGGTGCATCTGGCATTAGTGGATCTGGTGTTGGTGGCGAAAATGTAGTTGGTTTATCTAGTTCTACCAGCTCGTCTACTGCTTCTGCTAGCGCCAGTGCAACTGGTGTCTCTAGCACCCTTGGTTCTGGGCATTCAGAAACATACAACAAAGGTGGTGCTTCCGGAGGTATAGGAGCAGGTATTGGTGTTGGTCACAAAGGTGGTTATGGTTCCGCCAACAAGGGTGGTGTTTCCGGAAGCTTTGGAGCTGGAATTAATGGTGGTCTTAAAGATGCTGAATTGGGTGCCATTGGAAGCAGTTCTACTTCTACCTCAAGTTCCTCTGTAACCACAAGTACTTCAGGTGTCTCTTCATCTGCTAACAAAGGAGGCTACTCTGGTGGAATTGGTGCAGCCCATACCGGAGCCTACAACAAGGGTAGTGCATCTGGAAGCGTTGGCATAAGTGGTAACAGAGGTAGCTATGGTTCAGCTAATAAGGGTGGTGTTTCAGGGAGCATTGGAGCAGGAATTGGTGGCGGACATAAAGGTGGTTTAGCTGGCAACATTGGTGGCAGTTCTACCTCAACTTCCTCTGCTAGCGCTACTGTGTCTGGTAGTTTGAACACGGGAGCCTACAACAAAGTTGGTGCTTCCGGAAACATAGGAGCCGGTATTGGTGCTGGTAATAAAGGAAGCTATGGCTCGGCTAACAAGGGTGGTGTTTCTGGCAATTTTGGAGCTGACATTGGTGGCAGTTCCACCTCAACTTCTTCCGCCAGCACTACTGTGTCAGACAGCTCTCAGACAGGAGCCTACAACAAAGGTGGTGCTTCTGGAAGCATCGGTGGCAGTATTGGTGGGGGCCATAAAGAAAGCTATGGTTCAGCCAACAAGGGCGGTGTTTCTGGCAATTTTGGTGCTGGCATTGGTAGCGGACATAAAGGTGGTGTGGCTGGTAGCATTGGAGGCAGTTCCACCTCAACTTCTTCCGCCAGCGCTACTGTGTCTGGTAGTTCTCACACAGGAGCCTACAACAAAGGTGGTGTTTCCGGAAACATTGGAGCCGGAATCGGCGGTGGTAATAAAGGTAACTATGGTTCATTCAACAAAGGTGGAACTTCTGGCAGCACTGGAGCAGGAATTGGTGGCGGACATAAAGTTGGTGTAACTGGCAGCATTGGAGGCAGTTCTACCTCAACTTCCTCTGCCAGCACTATTTCGTCTGGTACCACCCATTCAGGAGCCTACAACAAAGGTAGCACTTCCGGCGGCATTGGTGCTGGTATCGGTGGCGGACACAAGGTAACATATGGTGGATCTAATAAGGGTAGTGCTTCCTGGAATTTTGGTGGTGCCAACAAAGGTGGCGCCGCTGGCAATAAAGGAAATTACGGTGGCGCCTCTGGCAGTTTTGGAGCAGGTGGTAATAAAGGTAGCTATGGAAACAAGGCTACAACTACAACAAGTACCACAACTAGCACATCTACAGTTTCTGGATCTGGCAGTGGCTCAGCCCAGGGTTCCGCTGGATTTTCCTCAACATCATCTTCGTCCTCTTCCTCTTCGACCGTTGTTAAGGTGAGTCATCCGTGGATAAAACAAGAAAGTTAAGGCTCATCTATCTTCTTTTAACACAGGTAACCTCCTCCTCCACTGCCCAAAGCAGTGCCACCAGCCATGGATCCACCACAAGTTTTGGTAGTGGATCTCACACTACCGGATCTGCCAGTAGTACTTCATCGGCTAATGGTGTTGCCTCAGGTACTAGCTCGGGTTCAGCTTATGGTAGCACATCGGGCGCAGCTCATGGTTCGGGTGCCACCTATGCCCAGGTTGCTGCCTCCGCTGTGACCGCCTCAAATCAGGTTGGTTTCTTGACTTGACCTAATTTTAGAGAAAGATTGTAATTATATTTTTTTAATCAGGCCAATGCTCATGGTTCATCACTCTCAAAGGGATCTGGATCAGCTGGTGGTGCTGGCTACGCCTCTGGTTCTGCTTCGGCTCATGGTTCAGCAAGTTCCAGCGGCATTGCTCATGCTACCGCATCTGGTACCTCTAATGCAAGTGGAGCTGCCTCTGCTCAGGCATTAGGCTCTGGCTCCACTACTGGATCCTCCTCTGCTCAAGGTTCAGTTACCGCCACTGGCACTTCTACAGTTTCTGGAACTGGATCCTCAACAGCCAGTGGAAATGCTCATGGCTCATTAACAAGTCAAGGTACGGCAACAAGTACTTCCCAAGCAACTGCTACTACAAGTGGTAGCTCGTATGGCACTGCATCCGGATTAGCTTCTGGGGTAGGATCTTCTAGTGGTCATGGTATTGGGTCTGCCTCTGCCCATGGATCAGCATCTGTCAGCGGAACAGCTCACGGATCCGCAACGGGATCAGCATCACTCAAAGGAACTAGCGCCGCAAGTGGATCCGCAACAGCTTCTGGCGTTGGATCTGGAAGTGCAAGTGGAAGTGCTCATGGATCATCAATAGCCAATGGAACTGGATCTGCTTCTACTGCAAGTGGATCCGCAACCGCTGCTGGTGTAGGATCTGGAAGTGGAATTGCTCATGGCTCTGCTACTGGATCGGTTTCCACTCAAGGAACAAGTACTGCAAGTGGCAACGCTTCTGGAACAAGCCATGGTGCAGCTGGATCCTCAGCTGCAGCATCTGCCACAGCTACTGGCGTAGGTTCCGCCGCTGGCCTCAGTAGTGGATCAGCTACATCCGCTGCCGCCAATGCAGTTGCTTCTGCCGTCGCAAATTCCCAGGCTGTTGCTTCGAGTGTTTCATCTGCTTTAGCTTCCGCTGCAAGTCAAGCTACCGTATCTTCCAAAGGACAAAGTTCGGCTGGACTAAATGCAGCTCACAAAGGTGGTTATGGTGGTTCAGTTGGAATTGGTGGCTCCCATGGTGGATTGAGTGCTGGCGTTAGTGGTGGCCACAAAGAGGCGCATGTTGGTGGAATTTCTGGATCGATTGGTGCCAGTGGCAACTCTGGCGCTAAGGGACAATCTCATGGCAGTTTATCTGCTGGTTTGGATGCCACACACAAAGGCGGTTACAGCGGTAGCTCTAGTCATGGTGGCAGTGCTTCGGATCGTATGGCTCCAAGGGAACTCACAATGCAGGAATTGGAGCTAGCATTGGTGGCTCGCATGATGGTGGTTATAGTGGATCCAGTCATGGTGGCAGTGCCTCTCTTGGTCTAGGAGGACTGTCGGGCTCCATTGGTGCCAGTGGCAACTCCGGATCGTATGGCTCCAAGGGAACTCACAATGGAGGTATTGGAGCGAGCATTGATGGAACTCATAGTGGTGGCTACAGTGGATCCAGTCAAGGTGGCAGTGCCTCTCTTGGCCTAGGAGGACTCTCCGGATCTATTGGTGCTAGTGGCAACTCTGGATCCACACATAGTGGATCATATGGTTCCAAAGTAACTCATACTGGTGGTATTGGTGCTAGCATTGGTGGTTCGCATAATGGTGGCTACAGTGGATCCAGCCATGGTGGCAGTGCCTCTCTTGGCCTAGGTGGACTCTCTGGGTCTATTGGTGCCAGTGGCAACTCTGGATCGTATGGTTCCAAGGGAACTCATAATGGAGGTATTGGAGGCAGTATTGGTGGCTCGCACAATGGAGGTTACAGCGGCTCTGTTGGATCATCCCACGGCAGTAGTTATGGAGGTTCTGGCCTCGGACTTAATTTAGGTGGACTGTCTGCCTCAATTGGTGGTGGAAATCATGGATCGTCAGGAAGCTATGGTGGTTCATCGAGCAACGGTGGCCTTGGGCTCTCCGCAAATTTAGGTGGTCTCTCTGGTGGTTTTGGTCTCTTTGGCCGGTAGGTCGGTAGCTGTAAAATTATTACTTAGATTAGTTGTTTCCTCTCATACTGTTAATAGATGTTAAATAAGTGAATAAAATTAATAAATAATTACACATTTTCTTTATATTTTACAATTTCTTAAGAAGTCCTGAAAAGAGCTTGAAAAAGTTCGCTATAAGGCCACTGTTGGTCCCCTGAAAAAATGTAAGAAATCTAAAAAAAAAAAACTCTAATAGGAAAATTTTAAACTTTAACACCAAAAAGTCCTCAACATCTTTCATTTTGAAGATTACAGAGCAGGATTTTGGAAATGGACCCACATAGAATTTATATGTCAAAAACTATTTCAACACCTCCGTATGTGAACCCTATGGACCAACAGTGACCTCAATATCACCTCAATTCCGAAATTCAGCTCTATTCCTTTACCGTATAACAAGTTAGGTAATATTAAGTACATATATCAAAAAAAATCTGCATCCCACCAAAGGTGGTGCTTCCGGAGGTATAGGAGCCGGTATTGGTGGTGGTCACAAAGGTGGTTATGGTTCCGCCAACAAGGGTGGTGTTTCCGGTGGCTTTGGAGCTGGAATTAGTGGTACTCATAAAGATACTGACTTGGCCACCATTGGAAGCAGTTCCACTTCGACCTCAAGTTCCTCTGTAACCACAAGTACTTCAGGTGTCTCTTCTTCTGCAAACAAAGGAGGCTACTCTGGTGGAATTGGTGCAGCCCATACCGGAGCCTACAAGAAGGGTGGTGCATCTGGAAGCGTTGGCATAAGTGGTAACAGAGGTAGCTATGGTTCAGCTAATAAGGGTGGTGTTTCTGGCAGCATTGGAGCAGGAATTGGTGGCGGACATAAAGGTGGTTTAGCTGGCAGCATTGGTGGCAGTTCTACCTCAACTTCCTCTGCTAGCGCTACTGTGTCTGGTAGTTCGCACACGGGAGCCTACAACAAAGGTAGTGCTTCCGGAAACATAGGAGCCGGTATTGGTGCTGGTAATAAAGGAAGCTATGGCTCAGCTAACAAGGCTGGTGTTTCTGGCAATTTTGGAGCTGGCATTGGTGGCAGTTCCACCTCAACTTCTTCCGCCAGCGCTACTGTATCAGGCAGCTCTCAGACAGGAGCCTACAACAAAGGTGGTTCTTCTGGAAGCATCGGAGGCGGTATTGGTGGGGGTCATAAAGAAAGCTATGGTTCAGCCAACAAGGGCGGTGTTTCTGGCAATTTTGGAGCTGGCATTGGTAGCGGACATAAAGGTTGTGTGGCTGATAGCATTGGAGGCAGTTCCACCTCAACTTCTTCCGCCAGCGCTAACCACATAGAATTTATATGTCAAAAACTATTTCAACTCCTCCGTATGTGAACCCTATGGACCAACAGTGACCTCAATATCACCTCAATTCAAAAATTCAGCTTTATTCCTTTACCGAATAACAAGTTAGGTAATATTAAGTACATATATCAAAAAAATATGCATCCCGCCATACCAACAGTATTCAAAAAAAAAAAAATTAGTAAAATTTAGTACTTTTCGAATTCCAGTTAATTATCGAGCAATTATGGTACTCATTTGCCAAACCACCTCCATATCTCAATTTCAGATAACAACAGAGACCTCAATATTGTATTTTTTGATTCCAGCTCTATACCTTCTTTCAATACCAAATTTAGTACTATTTAGTAATTTTAGAACAATTATAGTATACATTTACAAAACCACCTCCATATCTTTACCACATATACCAACAGTGACATCTATATTAAATTTCAGGACTTCCGCTCTTTTTCTTCACCCAATACGAAATTTAGTACTATTTAATACTTTTCTCACAATTATATAGTACACATTTCCAAGACCACCTTCATATCCCAATTCCAGATGGAAACAGAGACTTCAATATCACATTAGTTGATTTCAGCTCAATTCCTTCACCCTATACCGAATTAAGTACCAATTAGTACATTTCGTACAAACATAGGACACATTTCCAAATCTAAATATTAAATTTCGGAATTTTATCTTATCTGTTCAACCAATACCAAACTTAGTACTATTTAGTATTTTTCGTACAATTATAGGACACATTTCCAAAACCATCTCCATATCTGAACCACTGAACCACTTCCAAAAGCATCTCCATATCTCAAACAAAATTTTAATATCAAATTTCAGAATAGTATCTCTGTCCATTCACTCAATACGAAATATAGCACCATTTAGTAATTTTCGTACAATTATAGTACGCAAATGCCTCCAAATGCCTACTCTACACATTAACAGCGATTCTCGTCACCCAAATTGTAACAAATATAGTACTATTTAGTACTTTTCGTACACTTGTGGTACCCATTTTCAAAACTACCTCTTTATCACAAACCTACCACCAACAGGGACCCCATTACAAAATTTCAAAACTCCACCTTGATCTGTTCCCCCTAAACCGAACTGTTTCAAATTTAGTACCATTTAGTATGTACTTTTCGTACAATTATAGCACACATTTTCCAAACCATCTTAATCTCCAACTTTGATTCTCGTACCAAATTTCAAGTTTTAGCTCTATCCGCTCACATAATAAAATACATAATATATACATAATACAAATGACACTATTTTAGAAGTTTAGTACCATTTTAGAACTTTTCGTAACCTTTAAGTTCGAATTTCCAAAAACCATTTGGTACATCTGTACAACACTCCTTCAGTGTCTCTGATGATAAATGTCAAAATTCGCAATCCGTTTGTCCAATACAATGTATTAAATTTGTAGTACATTTTAGTACTTTATCCTTTAGTTTGTTTCGTATCCTTTAAGTACGAATTTTCCAAAAACCCAACTTTATCACACGCCTATGCACCAAGACTGACCCTCGTGTAAAATTTCAAGATTCAGTTATTTCACAATAGTCAGTCAGTTATTTTACTACTTTTTACATACATAGATGTCCACAATGGTACAATTTCTTTAAAAATCCTGATGGTCCTCAGAAAAAAAATTTAAAAAAATCCACAATTATTGCCTTGATAGTCCCCGTTAAAAATATTTACAAAATCTTGAAGAAAAATTCAACATCTTTAAAATTGCTGACTTAGTGATCTTCAGAGTCCTTAAAAATGCTCAATTATTGCCTCGAGGGTTCGCAGGAAAAAATTACAATTCAGAAATCCACGACTATTGCCAGTAAAATTCTTCAATAATCCTCAACCACTGACCTGTTGGTCCTCATGAAACATTCTTTAAAAAACCCCAATTATTGCCTCGAACCAAGAAAAAATCCTTAATTTTTTTGCCTTGAGATCATTTGGAAAATTCTTTAAAAAAGTGCCCGGTTATTGCTTTGGAGGCCCTCAGAAAAAAATCGTCAAAATATTCAAGACCAATGTCTTGATAGTCCTCTTTAACATAGTTAAGGTAATTGTCTTAGTGGTCCTTAGATTTTTTTTTTAAATCACAATTATTGCCCTGATGGACCTCAAGAAAAAACAATTTTTTTTGATTTTATGGTCCTCGGGAAAAATGCTTCCAAAAATTTACAATTATTGCGCTGATGCTCCTTAGACCATATTTTTGAAAAAAAAAATCTACAATTATTGCTATGAATGACCGCCGGAAAAAAAATTCTTTAAAAAATCCCAGATTATTGCCTTGGTGGCCCTTAGTAAAAATTCCAAAAAGTATTCTTGACTAATGTCTTGATAGTACTCTTTAACATATTTATGAAAATGACGGTCATCAGGAAAAGTTTCCTAAATATCCGCATTTATTGTCATGGTGTACCTCAGGAAATTTATGGTCCTCTTAAACTCTTAAAAAAATCATAAGAAGGAAATCCACTACTATTGCCTTGTTAGTCCTCAGAAAAAATTCTTAAAAATTATTGCTTTTAGATCATATGGAGAATCCTTAAAAAATCGGCGATTAATGCATTGGTGGGCCTCAGGAAAAATTCGTAAAAGAAATCCACGACTAATGACCCGATAGTCCTCTTTAATATATTTATGATAATTGTAGGTCCTTAGGAAACATTATTCTAAAAATTTACAATAACTGGCTTGATGCTGCTCACAAAAAAATCTTGAGAAAATCTACAATTATTACCTTGATCGTACTCTTGAAAAATTCTTAAAAAATCCTCCATCATTGATCTGATGATCCACAGGAAAAATCCTTTAAAATTACAAAATAATAAAATAAAAAATACTGGGTGAGATGAAAAAACTGCAACCAACTTCAGATGGCTGTCATTTCTAAGCCACTCGTCCGATAGCTGTTAAAACTAGTCCAGTGACAGCTCATTATTTTGTTCACAAGCGTACAAAAGCATTTTCGTGAGAATTTTCCAGAAAAAACCAGTAAAGAAAGTCCTAAAGTCGGGCGGGGCCGATTTTATGATACCCTACACCACTTTGCTAATTTAGTAGAGCTGCGCATAAGAATTAAAAGTTTTTATGGGAGAATTCAATCATGCACGCTATGATTATAATTTAAAGTTCAAAGGACTAAATATGCCGAAGCATTTGTATCTTTTAAATTCGGACTTGTTTTGCTCATTTGGTGCAAAATTAATTTGAAATCGGATAAAAATATATATGGGAGCTATAACCAAATCGGACCCGATCTCGTTAAAATTTGGCAAAGATATTTCTGAGCTGTATTTGATATATTTCCCTGAATATCGTTGTTACGGAGTTCATATTACGGCTGTGGGTAACAAATATGACAAATCGGATGAATAGTATGTATGGGAGCTATAGCTATATCTGAGCCGATCTTCACCAAATTTGACATACTAGCTTCTAGACTCAATTCGGTCGTAAGTGGCAAATTTCATCCAATTTGGCCAAATATTAGACGTTTGGTGCACAATCAAAGGTAAATCGGACGAAGTTATATATGGGAGCTACATCCAAATCTGAACCGATCTCGATAAAAATTAGCAAATGTATTTCTGAGCTGTATTTGATATATTTCCATAAATATTGTTGTTACAGGCTGCGGAGGACAAAAATAACAAATCGGATGAACAATATATATGGGAGCTATAGCTATATCTGAACCGATTTCGATCAAATTTGGCATACTCATTTTCAGGTCCAATCTGATCGTACGTGCAAAATTCCATACAATTCGGATATATATGGGAGCTATATCTAAATTTTTACCGATTATCTCCAATTTCAATAGGGTTCTTCCTTGGGCCAAACAAATGATTTGTGCAAAATTTCATCTGGATAGGACAATAAATGCGAACTGTACTTTGTTTACAAAAATACTTGGACAGACGGACAGACGGACGGACGGACGGACGGACGGACGGACATGCATAAATCGACTCAGAATGTGATTCTATGCAGATCATCAAAAGGAACTATGGGTCTATCTCGTTTCCTTTTGCCTGTTACAAACAAATGCAAAAAGACATAATACCTTGTGGTGTAGGGTATAAACATAGAATTATTGCCTTGATGGACCTCAGAAAAATTCTCGAAAGAATCTATAAATATTACCTTCATCGTCCTCTTAATAATTTTAAAAAAATCCTCGACCTCGAAAAACCAAAGGAATTTCTATAATATTCCTTAGGGAAAGTACGTTAAATCATCCACAACTATTGCCTTGGGGGACCTGTTTGTAAAAAATCAACAATTATTGCTTTCGTGGACCTCTTCAAAAATCCTAAATTATTGTTCAGATGGCCTTCAGGAATAATTTCTCAATAAATCCACAGTTATTGCCTTGATCGAAAAAAATCATTTTTTTTAATTTATTAAACATGTTGACAATAGTTGCTTTTTAGCCTACCTATGTTTGTATAACTCCACTACACCAAGCATAACAATCGAATCACTGGATTGAGCAATCCCAATACCGTATTTAATAGTGATCCGACAAGGGTTAAAACACCGCTCACCTGAAGATCATTCGGTGGACCACCATTACATATTTCCATTCTGTTATAAGATGCGGCTAGTCGGCGCATACGATCCGTTGTGCAAACAACTTCGGAACAAGTCTGTGGCGCCACTCGATCTCGGCAATTTGTTGGAACCGCATTGTAACAACTTCTATGCAGCTCTTCAAGTTGTAGGCTGGCGGCATTGATTTGTAATAAACTTATCGGTAGAATACCCAGTAAACCGCGACGATTGTAACAAAGTAAAAGTTCCGTTAAACGATTTACATTCGTTTCAAGTTGACCGCCTGGACAGTTGTTGCAAACCGTTGTAGTGCGGGCAGTACTTTGGTGCGAAGAAGGTACAAGGCAGGCCAGAACTGAAAAAAGTTTTGTTTTTTTTTAAATTTTTTAAAAGTATATTTTTTATGGTTTTTAATAATTTTTCTTCTTACCACCAAGTGCAAT